GCCACAACGCCCGGCTATTTTTTGGTTGCAGCCATCATCGTTGTTTGGCGGGTCCGGGCTGGGGATTTGAACCCGACAGCTTAGGTGTACGTGGCTGGCGCCTTAGCCGGTTGAGCTATAGGCGCCGAGCCAGCCTCTAAGTTCTTGAGGAGCAGAAACAGTTCTTCTCTGTTTCCCCATTGCCCAGCCTAGAGCTGGGTTCACAGTAGGCACCTGGATGTTTGTTGAATGAATAAACAATTGAATGAGTAGCCCATCACTGGGATGGACACTATATTCCAAGAGGAAGGAGAGATGGGCAGAATAAAAGTGATTTTTCCCTATGCCTCGTGTGATACCTTTTCCAAACTGCTTTTATATACATATTAACTCATTTCTCTCAGAAAAGAGTCCCCATTTTATAGATGGGAACAGAGGGGTCTGAGAAGGTCTGGGGCCTGCCTGTGACTACAGATGACAAGTAGATGGTGGAATAGAGATAAGAATCATGGCCTTGGCCAGGTGCGGTGGCTCATGCCTATAATCCTAGCACTCTGGGAGGCTGAGGCTGGTGAATTGCTTGAGATCACGAGTTTGAGACCAGCCTAGTAAAAGCAAGACCCCGTCTCTACTAAAAATAGAAAAAACTAAGGCAAGAGGATCACTTGAGGCCAAGAATTAGAGGTTGCTGTGAGCTATGACACCATGGTACTCTACCCAGGGTGACAGCTTGAGACTGTCTCAAAAAAAAAAAAAAAAAGAATTACGGCCTTGAGGTGACTTACTTGCTTACATGCATGTGTGTATATGTGTGTATGTGTACATGGGGGTCTTACCTGGGGCTGGCGGTACCAGTAGAGTGTATGTCCTTTGAGCACAAACCAGCAGCGGCGCCAGCGTGGCCCCATGAAGCCACCAGGAACCTTGCGCAGCAGGAGCCAGCCGTCGCAGTCTGGCCGGCCCAGTTGCCGGCATGACACCCGCCGGCGGCTCAGCCGTGTTGCCACGCCTGCAGCAGGATGGCACAGCCTGGTGAGTGAGGGGCTGGCAAGGTGCCCCAGGGCCTCTTCCCCCCAATGAGTACCCCACCCCGAGATGTCTGAACCCACACTCTATGTTCAGAATTTACATATGTCATCTCTGGGGTAGGGGATGACCCTTTCTATTTTAGAGACGAGAAAACTGAAGATTAGAGGATAAGCTGTTTGCTCAGTCACAGAGCTGGTAAGAGACCTGGGCTGGGAACACAGGTCTGTGACTCCAGCAACGGCTGTTTCCAGGAGAAGCTTTGCAGGAGTGAGGGTGGGGGGTCTTGCCCAGTATGGTAAAGATTTCTAAAAGTCCCTCACATGGGGGGGGTCCCCCACCCCATCAGGTGTACCTCATACCTTTTGATTTCCTCCGACCAAGAACAGGACTCTGAAGGAACAATAAAGGGCTTAGAGAAAAGTTTAGGTCCAGCGCCCACACCGCTCCTGCTGAGTCCCTGAGCTCACCTTGTCAGGGAGTCTTGGGGGCTCTGTAATTTCAGGAGTCTCTGCCACCTCTCCTAGGGGTGCAGCTGGGGGCGCAGAAAGGGTAGGCAGGGGATCCGGGTCAAGGGTGGTGGAACCTGTCCGGGAGGGAGGAGAGAGCGGGCAATTCCATAAACTCAGGCCCAGGCCAGGCAGTGGTATCAGCACTGAGTGGTCAGAATTGGACACCCAGATGCCTTGTCAAGGCCCCCACCACCTGGCAGGGCTTTGAAACTACCTGTCCAGGCAGGGCTGGGCCCAGGACTTGGGTTTGAAGTCAAGTCGAAGGCAAAGACGTCTTCAGATAGGGCACTGGGGAGGGCAAGGAGAGGTGAGGAAGTGCCCATGGTGCCCCCCCATCAAGACACACCCAAAGCAGAGCCTGTTACCTGGGAGACAGGGAAGCCAAAGATGGTGACTGGCTCTTCAGGTGCGGACAGTCCAGTGACTGTGGAGGCGTCTGAGAAATAATCAGAAACAGGGTGATGGAGCTGAGACAGGGGTCTAAAAGCAGGTGGGGGTGGGAACAGGGGCAGTGGCATGTACCTTGGGAGGGCTCTCTGGCACAGGGATCTTCTTCAGCACTAAGCTCACTCTAGCTGGCTCCCGAAGCAGCTCCCTCACCACGTTTTTCCTGGGCCAGCCCACCTGGGTACAGGGCAGGAGGCCAGGCAGACACACTAGCACCAGTCTGGAATCAGGCTGGGCAGGAGGCTCTGAAGTCACCGCTGACCCTCACCTGGCTTGAAGGTCCCCCAGCCTTACACTTCTGCCTCCCCTCGCCACCTCCCTTTATCTCAGCTCTGCAGAGGCCACTCCTACAGCCCCAGTCTCCCCACAGGGCAGAGCCCTTGGTTGCCTTCCCTGCCCCCTACCCCTGGGTTCTACCCTGGGGTCTTCCCAGCACGTCCCTCTCCTCACTCACCACCACCTGCTCATTGATCTGGACAATCTCGTCTCCAGGCAGAATCTGTAGTCGGGACTCAGTGGAGACCTGGCATGGGGAATGGGGCCTGAAGCTAGCCTGGCTGGTAGATGAGAGAACTAGGAAGTGGGTGGCTGAGAAGGGTGTGGGGCTCTCACCTGGCTGCCCACTTGGGACACAAAGTGCTGACAGTTGTTGGTGGTCTGGATTTCTAGGCCCTGCAGGGGCAGAAGCTATAGTCATCTACAGTGTGGGGGCAGCATGGCCAGTGGGCAGAATGCTTCCTGGGCACCAAGATTCCAATGTAGATGGAACTGGCCCAAGCTTACACTGCCCCAATTCAATGTGTGACCCTGTACTTGCTGCACCTCTCTGGGCTCTGCCTCCCCACCTTTGTTAAAGACCAGAGGGAAGCTAGAGACACTGATTGCTGAGGTACCAGCTTCTCAGCAACCTTTTTGCAATGATAAGCAGGGCCAGGGCTCTGGTTTCCCAATTGGTCACAGACTAAAGTGGAAAGGTTCATGTCTTTTTCCTTTCACCTAACCTGCCCAAAGCCCCTGTCAGGTCTGTGTCCTGGGCTGGAATGTGCCACCTGAGACCATGCCACTGCAGTCCCTTAGAATGGGGAAGATGCAGAGGGATGGTGAGACCCCACAAAAGTCCCCTGAGCCCACATTTTAACACCTGTGCAAAAAGGCTTTCCATTCATAGAAATATAGGATTCTGTGGAATCCTGGACTATATTTCAGGGCCCAGACAAGGCTGCCAAAGGGTCAGAAGATAAGAGGTCAGGGCTCACCAAAGGATCATCCAGTTGCACCTGCTCAAGCACAGCCCTCTGCTCCAGCAGCTCCTCTGGGCAGCAGCTCAGGATGGTGTGGCAGATCCTGGCCACTTGGCCACACTGGGGGTCGAGGGGGAGGAGAGCAGGTTATCTAATCTGAGCCCTATCCCCATCCTCATTCCCCTCTTAACCCCACAAAACCCCACAGACTCACAATCCTCAGGACTGTGCTCTCCTTCTCAGCTGCTGGCCAATCCTGGAAGCAGAGTGAGAGGATGGGGGCCTCCCCTGAGTAGGGGTGATAAGGGGGGGGCTGCCTTCACCTGGGGGCAAGTAGGATTTCCCAGGTCCCTCCCTGCTTCCCTTACTCTGGCCCCCTGCTGGGAACTATAGGGCCTCAGGGTTTCAACCCCAAGGGCTCATCCCCCCACCCCCCACAGCCCCAAACAGGCCCTAGAAGTTATTGCCCATGCCTTCCCCAGCTAGGAGACCCCAGGCCCCATTCCCCTGTACCCAGTGGCTAGGCCTCTGTTCTTCCTGCCTTGCTCGTCCTAGCCCTCACACCCGATCCTGGGCTGATTCACAGGTTATAAAAAGCTCATGCCTGGCTTGGTCTCTAGGGCAGGGGCCAAGCCTAGCCCTTAGTCCTCCTACCTCCTGCAAGGCCTGGCCCAGCTCACTGCACAGTTCCCCAATCTCCTGGCAGGCTGAGAAGTCGTTTATGTGGGAGAAGAGATACCTGGTAGGGGTAGGATGGCACAGTGATGAAGGGACTATGCTTAACCATGTGGAGCTGATCACTCACCTGAGATGAGGCTAATACTTGCTCCAATGGGTTTTGGTTTAGAGTAAAGGAGGTGATTGATATATCTAAAGAGCTCAGCACAGGACTTAGTTGTCCTGTGCCTACTATGTGCTAGGCCCTATTCTAGACAGATATTAAAGATACAATTATATCAGCAGAGCACAGTGGCTCATGCCTGTAATCCTAGGACTCTGGGAGGCCAAGGGAGGTAGATCGCTTGAGCTAAGGAGTTGGAGACCAGCCTGAGCAAGAGCAAGACTCCATCTCTACTAAAAATAGAAAAATTAGCCAGGTGTAGTGGCTTACTCCTATAATCCTTGAACTCAGGGAGGCCAAGGCAGGTGGATTGCTTGAGCTCAAGGGTTCCAGACCAGCCTGAGCAAGAGTGAGACCCTGTCTCTACTAAAAATAGAAAAAACTGAGGCAAGAGGATCACTTGAGCCCAAGAGTTGGAGGTTGCTGTGAGCTATGATGATGTCATGGCACTCTAACCAGGGTGATAGCTTGAGACTCTGTCTCAAAAAAAGAAAAAGGAAAAGAAAAAGAAAAATTAGCTGGGAATGGTGGCACATGCCTGTAGTCCCAGCTACCTGGAGGCTGAGGCAAGAGGTTGCTCAAGCCCAAAAGATTGAGGTTGCTATGAGCTATGATGCCATGGCACTCAACCCAGAGCAACAGAGTGAGACTTTGTCTCAAAAAAAAAAATTGAACTTCAACTGCAATGAGCCTTGTAAAACAGAGCTCTAACAGTGTGAAGCAGGTAAATTATCCCTAAGGAGGTGACATTTGAGATGGGACCTATAGGAGAAGCAGTACCCAGCGATAGGGATGGGGAAGCTCCATTCAGTAGTAGTTGATAAGACCGTTAATAACAAGCGGGGGGCTAAGGGGTAAGGGGGAAATCCCAGGTGTCCCGGGGCCCCTACACCTCTTTGCCCTGCTGTGCAAGGCAATAAGCAAGAGCTAAATTCTGTTTTTCTCTCTCAGGCTCTAGAAAAGGCCAAGCATGGGAAGGGTCCCCTCACCAGTCACCCCACCCCAGGTACCTGTTAAGCCAGAAGAGGAGGGCACGGGCCTCACGCACCAGCTCCACAGCAGCACTGAGGACATCAGCAGGGGCCTCAGCATAGTCCCCCAGGCGACCTTGGACTAAGCTCTGGAAGGCATGCGTCCCTTCCAGCAGCCCCTCTGTCAGACTCTGCAGGTTCTCTGTCTGTAGCCCGGAGCTCTGTGCCAGAAGGAGGCAGGTCACCTCCCTGTCAGCAGCCAGCTTCCCACCAGCAACCCTAGGGTGGTATGGCTAACACTCACCAGGGCCCGGAGCTGTTCCACTCCATCCAGGATGAGCTCCTGGTGGCCCAGAGGCCACACAGTCAGAGCTTCAAGACTGTGGGGACAGAGCTGGAGCAGGTACTTGCCAGGTAGCTCCCAGTTCTCAAAGGGATAGTCCTGCAGGGATTCATCGAGGCCTGAAAGAGAGCAGGGGTCACTATGGGGAAAAACAGAGGTGAACTTTGGGGCCAGTTCCTCACTCTCTCAGTGCCCCTTCCACTCCAATCTGTCCCTGAGGACAACCCTGATACCTGGGCTGTGTTCTGCCCATTTCACAGATTAGGCCCCTGCACGGAGAAGTAGGAGAGTATAGGGCAGTGTCTCCCAAAGGGTAGTCCCCAGGCTAGTGACAGCAGCCTGACCAGGGAACTTGTTAGAAATGCAAATCCTGGGCTTGGCACCTGTAGCACAAGCGGCTAGGGCGACAGCCACATACACCAGAGCTGGTGGGTTTGAATCCAGCCTGGGCCCACCAAACAACAATGATGACAACTACAACCAAAAAGAAAGAAAAGCCGGGCACTGTGGGGTGGGTGCCTGTAGTCCCAGCTACTTGGGAGGCTGAGGCAAGAGAATCACTTAAGCCCAAGAGTTGGAGGTTGCTGTGAGCTGTGTTGCCACAGCACTCTACCCAGGGCAAAAACTTGAGACTCTGTCTCCAAAAAAAAAAAACTAGGGGCTTGGTGCCCCTAGTTCAATTGTTAGGGTGCCGACCACACACACAGGGACTGGGAGGTTTGAACCCAACCTGGGCCTGCTAAACAACAATGACAACAACAACAAAAATAGCAGGGTGTTGTGTTAGGCGCCTGTAGTCCCAGCTACTCGGGAGGCTGATGCAAGAGAACTGCTTAAGCCCAAGAGTTTGAGATTGCTGTAAGCTGTGATGCCACAGCACTCTACTGGCACTCTACTAAGGGTGACATAGTGAGACTCTGTCTCAAACAAAATACAAAAAAAAAAAAAACGGACTTGGCGCCTGTAGCACAGTGGTTACAGCGCCAGTTACATACACCGAGGGAGCCAGGTTTGAACCCAGCCCAGGCCAGCTAAACAACAATGACAACTGCAACAAAAAATAGCCGGGCATTGTAGCAGGCTATTGGCTAACACTCACCAGGGCCTGGAGCTGTTCCACTCCATCCAGGATGAAGTCTGGAGTGTAGTGACAACCTGTAGTCCCAGCTATCTGGGTGGCTGAGGCAAGAGAATCGCTTAAGCCCAAGAATTTGAGGTTGCTGTGAGCTGTGACACCACAGCACTCTACCAAGGGCAACATAGTGAGACTCTGTCTCAAAAAAAAAAAAAAAAGAAAGAAAGAAAGAAAGAAATGCAAATCCTCAGGCCCCACCCCCTACCTGCTTAATCAGAAAGTCAGGTGTAGTTTGTAGTTTAACAAATCCTACAGGTGATTTTGATCCTCCTTTATGTCTCCTTTACATCTACGAACTAGTGATGTGAGGGATAAAAACAAGAGGCTGGAAACCTGATTGCTAACACTTGAGCAAGTAATAGAATTGCTCTGTGCCTCAGTTTCCTCACCTGTAAAGTGGGAATAATAAAAGTACCCACCCTCCCCTACCCCTGGCAGCGCCTGTGGCTTAGTGAGTAGGGAACCAGCCCCATATACCAAGGGTGGCAGGTTCAAACCCAGCTCCAGCCAAAGTGCAACAAAAAAATAGCCAGGCATTGTGGTGGGTGCCTATAGTCCCAGCTACTCAGAAGGCTGAGGCAAGAAAATTGCCTAAGCCCAAGAGCTGGACGTTGCTGTGAGTTGTGACACCACAGCACTCTACCAAGGGTGACAAAGTGAGACTCTGTCTCTAAAAAGAAAACAACAAAAAAGTACACACACACCCCGGTCTTATCATGTGTATATTAAATGACACAACTTATATCAAATACTTGACCATTGTCTGGTTCATGGTAGACAGTTAATAACAACTATCATATTATTATTGCCAGAATCTTTGCCATGATGTCCCAGCACAGCCCCTCAACACTCAGACTCAGGACACTAAGTTCCTGTAGCTGTTTGAGCTCAGGGTCCTCACATGTGCTATTCCTTCTGTTAGGATTGCTCTTCCAGCTATTTCTTGCTCCTTTTCATCTAACTCCCTCCAGGAAGCCTTCCATAACTTCCAGGCAGGGTTGAGGGGGGCTCTCCTCCTGCTCTCATGTTCCCTAAGCCTCCGCAACTCCTTGCACTTGAGTATCAGTCTCTCCCACTTTATCAGAGACTCTTCAAAGATCAGGCTTTAAATAATCATTGGTCTCTAAACCCTGGCTTGGGCTTGGCCCCAGGTAAACACTCAAAAATAAGAAAAATACCTGAGTGCTCACTGTGTGCTAGGCAAAGTGTTAAGGGCTTTACATATATTAACACATTTGATCCTCACCACATATCTAGGAGATAGGAACTATTGTTATCGGTGTTTCACAGATGGGAAAACTGACACAAAGATCAAGTGGCTTGCTCACTTTAAAAGAATTCCTCCCCTCCCAAGCTAGCTCCTTCTTTTACCCACACCCTATGTGACATTAAGAGCATTGGGGTTCATGAACCTGTTGCTCTCTGGCTATGGACCCTCAAGCAACTTCCTTACCAAACACACCGGGCTGTCTCCCCTCAGCAGACCCAGACATAGAGCCACAAATGCTAGCCTTACTGCGATTGTTTCATTTTGTCCACTTCATGAGGTCAGAGTCGCCTTTCCCATTTCACTGAGAAACTGAGATGTACACAGAGCTGGTGACTGGTGGAGCTGGGAGTTTGATTCTAGCCCCGATCCCTGCCGTTATGCTGGTTGGTCACCCTGAGCCTGCCCCAGTGTGCTCCCGCTTCCTACTCTGGGAGAGACGTCCTGAAGGCTCTCATTTCTGAGTCTGTCTGCAATTTGCTTCTTTCCCCAAATGTTTAGGCTCACTGACCCTGCAGAGGACCTCCCCGCCGGATGGGAGTCCCAAGGTGGGGCTGGGTCAACCCTTTCAGTCTCCCCTTCCACTTTGCTCCCTGGGAGAAGGGAAAACAACACCATCGCGGGCCCTATTTCAAGACTTTACAAATCACATCCTGGCTCTGTGTATCAGTTTCTGCTACTGGAAAATGGGTTTAATAACAGCCCACTGGGCCCTGGGGCCAGGGAAGATAAAAGGAGATAAAGTGGGCGTGGTCTTGTTTTCACAACACAGTCTCCCGGTCACCACCCCGGTGGCCTCCTGGGATGCTGAGGCCAAGGGGAACCCGTTTCAGGATGCTCCTTCCTTCCGGGGTCATCTCTTCTATCCCTCTGCCCAGCACAAGGCCTGGTACATGGCAGACGCTCAATAAATACCTGTTGACTGACTAACCGACTGACAGGCTCCCAGGTTCTCTCCTTTTCCTCTCCCCGACCCTCTGCAGGCGGGACACCACACCTAGCCCCTCTTCGAACCCAACTCTTCCTGGGCCCGACCCACCTCTCAGCCAAGCTGCCACCTTCCCGGGGGTCCAGGTCTCTACAGGATCCATGACCGAGCTCCGCCCGGGCGAATCACCGCCCGCTGCGTCCCGCCGGCGCAGGAATTTCCGCTCTGAGTCCAGGCCTGGGGAGGGGCCTAGCTGGGTCCCGGGCGGAGCTGGCGCATACCTGGGCCCACATGATCGGCCAGGTGAGGCGCTGCGACAGCCATTGGCCAGCACCTACGCACCTCCCGCCCCGCCCTTCAGGTAACGCAGGGCTTTGGCAGCTGGGCGCCGGGACAGGGTGTGATTACTGTTGTGTGACTCCAGCGACTTCAGAGCCTGCCTGAAATCCTGCCCCAAAGTGACCTCAGATCGCAGGATGGGGCCCTGAACCTCCGGCTCCCCAAATGCGCCGAAAGGGGAGCGGTAAAGTGCAGTAGCAAAGCACAGAGGTTGGGGGTTCAGCTGTGTGACCTGGGAGTGACCCTAACCGAAACGCCTGTTTTCCGGTCTATAAAACGGATATAATAGTTCTTACTTCATGCCGGGTGCGGTGGCCCACGCCTGTAATCCCAGCACTCTGGGAGGCCAAGGCGGGTGGATTGCCTGAGCTCAGGAGTTAGAGACCAGCCTGAACAAGAGCGAGACCGGTCTATTAAAAAAATCCCAGCTGGGCGGCGCCTGTGGCTCAAGGAGTAGGGCGCCAGTCCCACCTACTAGAGGTGGCGGGTTCAAACCCGGCCCTGGCCCAAAACTGCAAAATAATAAATAAATAAATAAAATAAAAATTTGAAAAAAAAAATCCCAGCTACTGGGGAGGCTGAGGCAAGAGAATCACTTGAGCCCAAGAGTTTGGGGTGCTGTGGGCAATGATGCCAAAGTACTCTACCAACGGTGACACAATGAGACGCTTATCTCAAAAAAAAAAAAAATTAAAAACAATTAAATAAATGATAGTCCTTACTTCAGAGAGCAGCTGTGCAGAGTACCTGAGTGAACAGCTTTACAACTGGGGTTTTTAGCCCTATCTTTTATTTTGCACTATGGACTCCTTACATTACACCTTGGGGTCTGGTGTGCCCTATGAGCCCTACTCAGAATAATGCTTTTAAAAGCATAAAATAAAATGCTCAGGAGAACAATTATTATCAAAATATATGTTAAAATACAAATTTATGTACAGTGGTTCACGCCTGTAATCCCAACAACTTGGGAGGCTGAGGCAGGAGAATCATTTTGAGTCCAGCCTAGGCAACATAGCAAGACCCTGTCCCTGAAAATAAAAGGATGGCACTTATAGCTCAGTGGGTAGGACACTAGCCACATACACCGAAGCTGGCAGGTTTGAGCCCGGCCCTGGCCTGCTAAAATAACAATGAGAACTGCAACAAAAAAATAGCTGAGCCTTGCAGCAGGCGCCTGTAGTCCCAGCTACTTGGGAGGCTGAGGCAAGAGAATTGCTTGAGCTCAAGAGTTTGAGCCTCTGTCTCAAAATAAATAAATAAATAAATAATAAAAAAATTAGCTGGGTGTGGTGGCCCATGCCTATTGTCTCAGCTACTAGGCAGGCTTTGGCAAGAGGACCCCATGTGCCGAAGAGTTTGAGGTTGCGGTGAGCTATGATCATGCCACTGCACGCAAACCTGGGCAGCAGCAAGATCCCATCTCTAAAAAACTAAATAAATGAAATGAAAGAAAATCAAAACACAAATTTATGGTATAGTAATGTGTTTATATACGTTAAATAACAAGACCACCAAATTAAACTGTACTGTTTTAATGACACCAGCGTATTTTTGCTCAGCTTGAATAAGAACATTAAACTGCAGGGTGGTCTTTAACTTAACCTCCTCTCACAATGATTAGCAAACATCTAAAAATAGGAGATGCTGGCTCAGTGCCTGTAGCAAAATGGTCATGGCGCCAGCCACATACACTGAGGCTAGCGGGTTCTAACCTGGCTGGGGCCAGCTAAACAACAGTGACAACTGAACAAAAAAATGGCTGGGCATTGTGGCAGGCGCCTGCAGTCCCAGCTACTGGGTGGGGCAGGAGAGTCACTTAGGCCCAAAAGTTTGAGGTTGCTGTGAGCTGTGACGCCACAGCACACTACCAAGGATGACATAGTGAGACTCTGTCTCAAAAACAAAAACAATAAAGATAGGAGATGCAGAAGAGTGAGTGAGAAGTCAGACAGATTCACCATTTGATCATTGAACTACTACTGGGCACAGAGGTGCCCAAACAACGACAGTTATATCACAGGATTGTCTGAAACACAGAGGGTGATCAGGTGCAATTTAACAGTAGGTTAACAACTACCAGGGTTTTGAAATAGTTATAAGCAAAAGTATTTTGCACACTTACAATAACAGTAATTTGATACAAAATTATCTGTGATTTCTATTGGTGATAAAACCAACAATACTATTACTTCAAAATATATAGACAAAGGAAATGGTAAAGGGTTAGTGAAAATAAGAATATAATTCTTTCCCATCTGAATTTATGGATTCTCTGAATTCTGAACTCCAAGGTAAGAGCTTTCATCTTAGAAAAATGTCTGGGGCTAGGTGTGGTGGCTCACACCTGTAATCCTAGCACTCTGGGAGCCAGAGGTGAGTGGTGTTCCTGAGCTCAAGAGTTCAAAACCAGCAAGAGCAAGACCCCATCTCTACTAAAATAGAAAAATTGGCCAAGCATTGGGGCAAATATATAGTTCCAGCTACTCAGGAGATTGAGGCAAGAGGGTGGCTTGAGCCTGAGAGTTTGAGGTTGCTGTGAGCTATGACAACACAACACTCTGTCAAAAGTGACAAAGTGGGACTCTGTCTCACAAAAAAAAAAAAAAAGAAGAAGAAGAAGAAGAAGAAATTGAGGGCACCAGTGGCTCAAAGGAGAAGGGCGCCAGCCCCATATACCGGAGGTGGTGGGTTCAAACCCAGCCCTGGCCAAAAACTGCAAACAAAAATGTCTGACACATCCTAAATCATCATCTTCTTCTTCTTCTTCTACTTCATCATCATCATCATTATCATATCAGGCCAGGGGACGCCCAGGACCTTGGAATCAGATGGAATCAGTACCACACTCAATTACTGTGTGACTGATTCCAACCTCTATACCTCTCTGAACCCATTTCTTCCTCTCTAAAAGAGGGATACCCAGACATAACAGCTGTGCTAACATCCTCTAAGTTCTTGCAAATCTGAAACAAGGAGTGTATCTGAATTATTATTGCTTTAATTCTATGCGGAAGGGCCTGAGAGGCCATCCCAGAACTTGCCCCCTAACTGTGTCACCTACTTCAGAATCTCTACCAGAATCTCTACCAGAGATATCTCTACCCTACTTCAGAATCTCTCCCAACACCTGATCTTAAAGCCTGTCATGATGCCACCTGTAACCAGAGATCCAAGTCTGAATCTGACCCAGGGATGGCCCATCTAGTCGTCACCATTTAACAATTTCACATACAAATTGAGATCTCCAGCTTCTCTGCAACTTGGCCAGCTCTGGCAATCCTATCCCACCATCACACTTGGCATCAAACACCAAGAGTGGAGCAGCAGCTTCTTCCTTCAAAGGAAAGACTCCAGGACTGTAGGTCCTGCAGGCCTGGCCACCTTTGCTTGTGAACCAGTGGGCTCCAAATCTGCAATACCCTCACCTCTCTGGCTTTTATTAACTTATATGTTTTCATAAATCACATTGTACATACATCTGGCTTTGCCCTTTTCCTCACATCCTCACATCCGATACTATGTCCCTCAAATATGCTGTGCCATGTCCTCCATTAACATTTCTGTCTCTCCATATAGTAGTCCCTCCAAGGCATTCTGGGAAACTCCAATAAACTCTAATAGAGTCTTTGTCATGGTGTTCAGTGGACACAGATCCTAATTTCATCAAATACATATCCTAAACTGGCACCAGATACAGTGGTAAAAAAGCCTAGCCAGTCCTATCCTCCCTGAACTCATACTCCTGTAGAAGA